TGTTTTTGCTTGGTTATTAATCACATAATTATGATCACTTGTAGTTGATGTTGTATACACTAAACAAGGCTTAATCTAACCTTCAAATTGTATTTCAATTATTTGAAAGTCTAGTGAAAATAGGGAAAAGCAACATCTTAGACTCCTGCGTGTCTGAGGTGTCTGAATGGGAGATTCCCATTCAGAGTGACTGGTCTGCCCCTACAAGTCTTGCTAACAAAGGATATTGACTCAATTCTGATATTCCATTGCCAGACATGTTAACGTGGAACTAACTCAGCCCTAAGGAGACCATATTTACCACCCCCACCACCACACACACACAAGATAGTCATAGCTCATCATAAGGAATGCAGTGCTGGACCGTTACCAAAATACTTATGGAATATTTTGCATTATTGAGCAGTTAATTCACTAGGCACTAAATAAAACAAAGCTCACTTACTCACTGTGACCTTCATGGGAATGCTTGTTCTGCAGTTGGAGCTTACATTCGCTTAACGGGCAAAGATTGCAACAGAAGGAAGCTGGTTAAAGGAACACCTGCCATCAGGAAGGAGATTGCGGTGAATGTCATCATACAACTCACCAACAGGGAAGCACAGTATGAAGCTAGAGACAGCAGTGCTGGTGATATTGCCCGCAGCTAAATTGCAATGATCTTTGGATTTTACAATGACGTTTTATGTAAAGGACTAACTTATTCCTGTAAACAGGATGAACACAATCATATCAGAGTCCTGGAACTAGAGTTGTTCATTGCATGTGTCATATGTAATATTCTATTTCTATGGCAAGTGATACATGCAGAAATCCTGATACCATGTTTCAATAATGAGTATTGTGGTTCACATCTACAGATGTATGATTGAACAACATGAGGAAGAAGGAAAAGCATCTGGCCTGAGATCTTTTTAACACAATCCTTATTTGTGTCAGTATAGTTCAGTTAGTAGCACTCTCAACTTTGAGTCAGAAAATGGTGGGTTCAAGCCCCACCTTGAGGTTTGGAACTTACACATTCTAAGATGACAATCCAATATAGTGTTGAAGGTGCCATTCTTTGAAAAAAAGAGATCCTGTCTATTTGTTTAAGTGTACATTCCACAGGATTTCATGGCACTACTTGAAAAGAGAAGAGAGTTTCTTTCAGTGTGCTAGCCAACAATCCTCCAAATAAGATTGGTCAGTCACTTCATGGCTGTTTGTGGGACCTTGCTGTGTTCAAATTAGCTGCAATGTTCACCTACAAAATACAGTCGCCACACCACTACACTTTACGTACTCCCACCATGAAAGGTGTTATATCAAATGTAAGGATTATTGCTATTATTTGTAGTTAATTTATTTATATTTATTGCTATTATTGTAGTGTATGAACTAGGTGGTTTTCCTTACAATCTACTGATATGCGTTCAAGCCCCACATTGGGACTTTGAGTTCACATACTATAGACACTCCAGTGCAGTGCTGAGTGTGTGCTGTATTGTTGGAGCTGTGATCCTCCCGTAATATGGCAGGTTTCTCCTCCTGGCCCTCTTCTTTGGCCTTTTCTTTTCCTTATCTATGTGCTCCCTGTGGGCGATGCCATCTGCAGACATGGGGTAAAATTCCACGTAGGTGGATAACACACAAATCTACTTTTCCTCCGCCAGTACTAACTCCAGGTCCACCAATGTTCTATCAGCTTGTCTGGCAGACATCAGGGCCTGGATGAGTATAAACTTCATGCAGCTGAATGTGGACAAGATGGAAGCCATACTCCTTTCTTCCCGTCAACGTCTTCAGTCCTGTAGATCTGAACTCCTTAACCTCCCTGGACTCAATCTCCTCAACCTCCCTCAGAATCCCCGAACCAGTGCGCAAGCTAGGAGTCCGTTTCAACTCCCAGCTGTCCTTCCTCCCCCACATCCAGTCCCTGACCAGGAGCGCCTTCTTCCACCTCCGCCACATTGCCTGCCTCCGACTGTACCTTCCCAAATGTAGCTGAAACCCTTGTGCATGCGTTTGTTACCTCCCGCCTGGATTATTCAAACACACCCACCATCTGCCATTACGACCCGACACTCTGGAACGCTCTCCCTCAATCCCTCAGCCTTGACCCCCTCTCTCCTCTTTGTCAATCCCTTTTGAAAACCTTCCTATTCGACTGTGCTAAGGGCCGCCGCCGCCGCCGCCACCACCCTGTCCCTGCTCGGAGTCAGGCTCCACCACTGTTAAGCGCTCTGAGACGCTCAGTGTGGAGGACGCTATATAAGTGCAAGTTGTTGTTGTTGATATTTTAAACCAAGGTCCTAGCTGCCTGATTGGGTGGATGTTAAAGATTTCCAGATGTTACCCAAAAAGAGAAGAAAATTACTCCTGGCATCCTGGCCAACAATACTCCAGGTGTAATTAGTCATTGACTTCATGCCTGTTTGTGAGTCACTACAGTGCACAAATTGGCAGCCACTTGCACCTATTAAATACAGTCACTACACTTCATGGTAAATCCAGTGAAGCACTTTGAGATGTCCTCCTAACATTTTATTACTATGTCCCTTTCCCATTTTACCTTGAACATGTTAGTCTTATGTTGACACCCACGATGGCATTACAAAAAAGCAGCAACACTGATTTATTACACAATGAAGATAGTATGAGGAAAGTTCAAGATGGATTATTATAAACTGTGAAATGTTCGTTGTCAAACAGAGTTTGTGAAGATCATTCAGAATCTGAATATCACAAAATCAAGTTGACAGCAAAAATGTGCATATTGCATGTTGAAATACTGACATTAGTTTGAGCTGGCTGAACCCAATGCCCTTGTCTCATTTGTATGCTTGATTTAGCTAGCAGGCTATTTAAGAGCCTATTCAAACAGCATTGGTTCTGAAGTTGCTTGAGGCTGGTGGATATTGGATACCACCTGTCAGCATTGCATCACTGCAAGAATAGTAAGGATGAGAGGTCATAGTTGTGGAAATACATGAAAAGCTGATACTGTTTCACCAGACAAAAGAAGGATAAGGAGGGATTTTCTAACAAAAATAAATGTCAAGCATTAAGTAACTCCTTCACAAAAATCATCTCTGACTATAAAATACACAGTCATTACAATTTACAGTAAATCCTGTGAAGCTCTCAGTGAGTTCCTCCTGAAGTGGAAGCCTCAATATCAAATGCAAGGAATATGATTATTATTATGATAAAAGAATTGTATGAGATAAGTTTGAAAAATATAAGGATAGGTTAGGCTGGAATGAAGTCTTCAGGATACACAATGATTTCTTTGTTGTTGCTGTCTGGATGGCAGAAGGCTAAAGGTTTGAACGGTGTCAGTCTTTCAGCAACAAACAAATCATCATGTATCCTGAGGCCTCCACTTCAGTCTGCACCTGTCCTTATATTTTTCAATATTTGACTCATACAATTCTTTTATAATGATAATATTAATCATAATATTCCTTGAATTTGATATTGTGGCTTCCATGTCAGGAGAAAGTCCCAGAGAGCTTCACAGGATTTAATCCTTGCATTTGATATTATCTGCCCCCTCCCTCTGAAACCTCCATCCTGAAGTCCCTTTGCCTAGTCCTTCTCTCGCCTCCTTCAAGGTCCGTATTAAGATCTTCTTCTTTGACTTCCCCTTCGGTCATCTATCCCCCACCCCATACACTTTCTACCCCCCCAACACTTTTGTCCCCCACCCCTCCTGAATCCAAACCGCAGCTCTGGTGCTAATTCTTGACTATCCAGTGCCCCGGGTCTCCCGACATGAAAGACGCTATATAAATGCAATTTATTGTTGATGTAGTGCCTCTTGTAGTGTAAAGTGTAGTGACTGTATTTTTTTTAGGTGAATACAGCTTTTGTGAAGAAATTTCTTAATGCTGCACCAGCTATTTTTGTTAGGAATCTGTTCCTTATATTTATTTCTCTGTATGGAAAATTCATCCTCGATGCTTCATGAGGCCTTATAATTTTAACCCCACGTCCCTCTTATTTTGTTCCCACAGTCTACATATTGACTGCTTATTTTTAATAACCTGTCTCATCCTTTAAAATAACTGATTACTATAAATGATTGTTTTGTACACTTTAAAGATCACAAAATAAAGCATGTCACTGCTTTGCAAATGTGCATCACAAAGAGGAAGGAAACGCAATAGGTTAAACATGCACAAAATAACTCACAAAGGTTCCCAGAATCAAAAGAAGCTCTGGGGATCCAACAGTCCAGACATCTTTGGCAAAGCTTTCCCTGAGCAACAACAGAAACAACGAATTACATTTGTCTAGCGCCTTTCACTGCAATGTATTATTTAATGTAATTAATACATTACAGATTAATGTAATTTGTTGTATATTTCAATGTATAAAGGTGCTATTCGTTGGGAGGGTGTCCCAAAGTGTTGGATATGCACCCCAGATGGGATCAGGAGGGGCGAGTGCAGAGAGGGTGAGGGTAATAATAATGACTCTTTCATTTGATATAGCATCTTCTAACCGTCTCAAAGAGCTTCACAGAATATACTGTAAAGTGAAATGCAGCAGCCAATTGCGCACAGCAGTGTCCCACAAATGGTCGAGGATTAAAGCGGATTTTGTTAAATGTTTTTCTTTCTCTTGGGGGTTTATTCTCGGGCGTGTGGAGCAAGGAAACTTGCCCAAGGTTTCGCCCTGCCGGGAATGGAACCCAGGTTAGGAGGGTGACGGTCGGGTCGACGAGGAGAGTCTTTTAATTTGGAGTCAATAAGCAGATTAAAAGAAGGGTTAAACTGTTGTGAAAACAGCGTGGCAGGTTGACAAAACATCGCAGCAGATTCTCTGTGCCTGAGCAACTGGAGGCTGTGTGTGAGCTGGTCCCAGGGCCGCTGTGTTGTAACCAGTGTTGGTGACTCTGGCTCTGTGGTACGTGACTCACTGAGCCTCAGGGAGTCAGAGGTCCAGGAACGCCCATTGGCAACATTGACAACTTCCTTCTGACACTTCCTCGGAGCTGAGTGTTTCTCCATCATCCAACCCAACCCCCAGCCCTCAGCCCTCCGGAGCTCCCACATCCAGCTCGTTCTTCTTGACATTTTTTTTTTGTGTGTGTGTGTGTGTGTGTGTGTGTTTGTGCAAAGCAAAAACCCCAGAAACGGCTCCTCAAGATGAGCGACAATAAAGCGGAGAAGCAGGAAAACTCCCCCAAAGCAAAGAGCGTCAGCAGTGAGCAGAGCAGCACAGGGCAGGGACTCGGGAAGATGAAGGATCCTTATGCAAACCTCGTACCTCCTAAAAACAAGCCCCGGACTGTGAGTGTGGGTGAGACGGGGAAGGCGTGTGTGCAACGTTCATGTGCTGTCTAACGTGCAACTGTAACCAGACTCTCTCTCTCTCTCCCCCTCTGTCCGCTGTTATCTTTAGCCCAAACCTCACTGTGCAATCACCATCGCAGTGTCTTCCCGGTGCCTGTTTAACATGGTGAAGGAGAGGAAAATCTACCAGGAAGAGGGCTTGGAAAGGTACGTGAAATACCAACAGGAGCACGAAAATGAGCCGCTGCTGAAAGGACCCGCTTTCCAATTCGTCAAGGTATTGCACTTCGCTGCACGATCCCGCTTTGCTGGTTTATTTGCGGCAGTGCAGGCTGTTTGCTGTCAGTCTGCCTGTGTGTGTTTATGTAAATGTGTGTGGAGAAACGTTCACAGATATTTCAGAAAGGTGGAGGCAACTCAGACACCCTGAGCTCCATTCAGACTGATATGTAATGAAAAGTATCCTGATATGAAAATGGCCCTTTTCTGTGTCTGTTCCATTGCACTGTAGCTCCTTTGGTTAGGGGTCACTAACTGTCTGGGCTCTTGCACTGTTTGCGACAATATTAAAAACGTAAGTCTTAGAAAGTCATTACTGGAGGCCAAAATGGATGCAGATAGAAAGTCTGTTGTCCTGCAGGGTATAGAGCACTCGCCTCGCAAGCGAGAGGACCTGGGTTCAATTCCCAGACAGGGCGAACGTTAGGCAAGTTTCCCTACTCCACACGCCTGTTTACCTAGCAGTAAGTAGGAACCTGGTTATTAGTCGATTGGTGGATCGTATTTCCGGGGATAATAATCCCTTTGAAATAATAAGAAGAATTTGGTCACTCAATCCACGACTCTTTGTTGCTCACTGCTGCGTGCAATTGTGTACCGCATTTGGACTGCAAAATATAGAGTCAATCAACTTTGCAGCATAAGACATAGGAGCAGCAGTAGGCCATTCGGCCCCTCGAGCCTGCCCCGCCATTTAATAAGATCATTGCTGATCTTCTAACCTAATTCCATTTACCTGCCCTATTCCCATATTCCTTAATCCCTCTATCCTTTAGAAATCCATCAACCTCATTCTTAAATATGTTCAAGGATTGAGCATCCACAGCCTTCTGGGGTAGAGAATTCCACAAATTCACTACCCTCTGAGTGAAGAAATGTTTTCTCAACTCAGTTCGAAAAGGCGGATCCTTAATCTTGAGACTATTCTGCGATGCGTTTTGAGAATTCCCGAAGAAGTGATAAGGCTCTATATCAAATGCAAGGATGGGTATTATAAATCTGGAGAATCAGTGGAGAGCCTTTTAAATATGGGTTTGGCTTTTTGCTGGACTGGTTCCCAGGTTTAGTACGTATATGGGTGGGGTTGTGGAAAAAGTGAATATCAGCCATTTTCAACATTCTGTGTTAAAGACTTACTGAGACCTGAAGCAATGTGTGTATGAATCTCTCACCCCTACAAACATACAACACAGTCTAGATATTTGAAGAAATAATATAATTTAATCTGTTTAGGTTCATTCCTTGAATAAACACTTCAGTTCAGCACATTTTCTGAATTGCAGCTTGAAAAGTTACAGAAAACCAGTTTAGTGATTTTTAACATAACATAACATGTAGGAGCAGGAGTAGGCCATTCGGCCCTTCGAGCCTGCCCCGTTATTCAATTATGGCAGATCTTCTAATCTAACTCCAGCTAATAACCTAATTCTGCCTTATCCCCATATCCCTTAATCCCGTTTGCAATAAGAAATCTATCGATCTCAGTCTTGAATATGTTCAAGGACTGAGCGTCAACAGCCCTTTGGGGTAGTGAGTTCCATACATTCACCACCCTTTGAGTGAAGAAGTTCTTCCTCAACTCAGTGTGAGAGGGCTGGCCTCTGATTTTAAGGTTGTGACACCTGGTTTTAGTTTCTCCAACCAGGGGAAACAATCTCCCACTATCTACTCTATCATGCCCTTCGATGATCTTATAGCTTTCTATAAGATACCCTCTAATTCTTCTATATTCTAGAGAATATAGGCCCAAATTGGTCAGCCTATCCCCGTAACGTATCCCCTTCATCCCTGGTACTAACCTAGTAAATCTACGCTGCACCCCTCCAAGGCAAGTACGTCCTTCCTTAAATGAGGAAACCAAAACTGGACACAGTATTCCAGGTGTGGTCTCACCAGGGCCCTATACAGTTGCAGCAAGACTTCCCTACTCTTATACTCTAATCCTTTCATAATGAATGCTAACATACCGTTCGCCTTCCTAATTGCTGCTGCACCTGCAGACTAACTTTCTGTGATTGGGTGTACAAGGACACCCAAGTCCCTCTGGACGCTAACACATTCCAATCCCCTTCTAAAAAATAACCCGCTCTAATGTTTTTGCTATCTAGGTGGATGACTTCACACTTCCCTGCATTAAACTTCATCTGCCACCTACCTGCCCAATCACCTAACCTATCTATGTCTCGCTGCATTTTTTTAATGTCGTCCTCTGTGTTGACACTTCCTCCTAGTTTTGTGTCATCCGCGAATTTAGATATATTAACTTCGATGTCCTCATCTAGATCGTTGATGTAGATGGTAAATAGCTGAGGCCCAAGGACTGATCCTTGTGGTACTCCACTAGTCACATCCCGCCAATCTGAAAAGGACCCGTTTATCCCTACTCTTTGTTTCCTACCCATTAACTATTCCTCATCCACGTTAATATGCTCCCCCCAATTCCATGGGCCCTTATCTTTTGGACTAACCTTTTATGCGCCACCTTGTCGAATGCCTTCTGGAAGTCCAAATAGACCACATCCACTGATTCACCCTTATGTAGTTTACTGGAAATATCCTCAAAAAACTCTATGAGATTCATCAAACATGACTTCCCTTTTATAAAGCCATGTTGACTTGGCCTAAGTATATTGTGCTCCCCTAAATACCGCACTACGACATCCTTAATCAATGATTCTAAAATTTTTCCTATCACTGATGTGAGACTAACTGGCCTATAGTTCCCCATCTTTTCCTTTCCACCTTTTTTAAATAGTGGTGTGACATTTGCGATCTTCCAATCCATGGGGACTATTCCAGAATCCAAGGAATTTTGGAAGATCAAACATAAGGCCTCCACAATCTCATAAGCTCCCTCTTTTAAAACTCTGGGATGCAAGCCACCCGGACCAGGGGATCTGTCACTTTTTAGTGCTAACAGTTTCCCTAGCACCAATTCTCTACTAATGAAAATTTCCCTAAGTTGCTCCCTGTCCTTATCCCCTTGGTGCATCTCTATTGTTGGCAGACTTGTTGTGTCTTCTAGGGTGAAGACAGATGCAAAGTACCCATTTAGGGACTCTGCCATGTCCTTATCCCCCATTACAACTTCTCCCGTCTCTGACTGAAGTGGACCTACATTTACCCACACTAGCCTATTCCTCTTAATATATTTGTAAAAACTTTTACAATCAGACTTAATGTTCCTAGCTAGTTTACCCTCATACTCCTTTTTCTCGCTCTTAATGAGTTTTTTAGTTTTATTTTGCTGGTTTCTAAAACAGATTTTTAGATTACTAACCCTCTTCATCACCAATTCTGAAATAAAGTAATTGTGAACATATTTTTGCTGTGGACAGCATCAGTCACAGATACAAATAGTGTGAAGAAACACAGTAATTTGAGATAATTTGTGCTCCATTCAGGTATTTTCGCAAAGGAGGGGGATAATCAGATGATCTGAGATGATTTAAACTGGTTGTGATGAAAAGTTTCTTCAAATGAACATGACCCTTTTCTGTGTCTTTGCTATTGCACAAGCTGCCTTGGTTAGTGGTCACCATCTGCCTTACTTTTGAAGTAACTAACTGCCTTGGTTACTGATCACTAACTTATCTTGACTCTTGGACTAAATTTGTGACAATATTAAATTTAAATCTTAGAAAGTAATTACTGGAAGTCTAGAATGGAAGCAGATAATAAATCTGGATAATCTGTAAAGACACAGAAAAGGTCCATTTTCATTTGATGAAACTTTTCGTCATACGCCAGTCTAAATCATCTGATCTAAATCATCTCAGATCATGAGTTTCCCCCACATCTGTAAAGATAACTTGAATGTTGCTCCTCCTTATTTGTGTATGGGACTGATGCTACCCCACGTGAAAGGCACCATATAAATGTTAGTTGTGATTGTTCTTCTACACAGCTCTCTCCTCCACTCTTGATTCCCTTGCTCCCCTCTCTTCCTGAACCGTCTCCTATTCATGTAAGTCACCATGATACACCAGCCAGCTCCACTCCCTTAAAGCACAGGTGGGTGCAGATCTGGCTGGATCATATCAAATCCGCCCTCGTCTCCACTAAATTGTTGTTCTACTTCAAGATAATTTTGGAGGCTAAGGACAACCCCATGTTCTTCTTCTCTGTCACGAACCGGCTCCTCTGCCCAACCTCTCACGCCTCGCCCATCCTCACTTCCAAATGCCAAATGCAAGTGCAAAGTTGAGGGAATCCACACTGCCTCTGCCACTGCATCTGCTACTCCCTCCCCATCCCACCACGGTCCCCACCCATCCCTCCGTCCATACCTTCAAACCTGTCTCCGTCTCCTCTCTCATCCCATTATAACCCGCATGAAATCGACCCCCTGCTCCTTTGATCCCATCCCTACCCCTCTCCTTACCTCTCAGCTCCATCTCCTTGCCCCTCTACTCACTGACATCATAAACCTCTCCCTGTCCTCTGGTACTCTTCCCACCCCATTAAAAACCGCTCCTATCTTTAAAAAACCCTCCCTGGACCCATCTCTACTCCCAAACTACCTCCCCATCTCCAACTTCCCCTTCCTCTTCAAGTTCCCGCCTTCCTCTCCTGTCACTCCCTTCACAACACCCCCCCAATCGGCTTTCCATGCCGCCCATCTTCCTGCTTCCCCCCCTGCTCTCTACCTTCCCTGACCCCCAGTTCGGGTCCAAAACTCGGTCTGTCCAGCGCCATGGGACATCCTCCTGACGTGAATGGTGCTATATAAATGTAATGTTGTTCTGGTTGTTGTTGAATAATCCTTGTATTTGATATAGCGCCTTTTGTGTCATCGAGACATCTCAAAGCATTTTTTACTGTAAAGTGTAGTGACTGTGTATTTGTAGACAAACTGGCAACCAATATGAGCACATAATGTCCCACAAGCAGCCATGTAGTGAATGATCAGTTTTATTTGGGGGATTGTTGGCCTGGTCACAGGAAAAACTCCCTTCTCTTTTCAAATGATGCCATGGGATCTTTAACATCCAAATGAACAGGCACATGGGACTTCATGTGAAGAATGGCACTTCCAGCAATGCAGCACGCTGAACCAAGCCGACACTTGAGCTCAATGACCTTTGTATAAATATTGTGCAGTTTGAAATTCAGCACACTTCAATTTCAGGGGCTATAATTTTAGTGCGGTACTGAGGGAAGTCCGATCGTATTTTTTTGATGAAATGTTAAACTAGATTCCTTTCCGTCTGTTCTGAGGGAGATATTAGTCTCCCTCAAAAAAGAGTTTCTCTCTGTGTCTTGGTGAACAATTCTACAGAAATGATACATGAAAGGTAAGGTAATCCAAATCCCTGATTGTCCACCACCTTGAAACGTCCTTCCGACATGAAGGTGTTTTACGGACATAATTTTGTATTGTATTTTCTAGAGAAAGGTCTGGGCAGAGTCCAAGGAGGGGGAGATTACGATAGGCAAAGGTTGTGGAATGTAAACACTGGCTCAACAACAACAACAAAAAAATTGCATTTATAGAGCACCTTTCACGTCGGGAGGACGTCCCAAGGCGCTGGACAGTTGGGTCGGGACCCGAGCAGGGGGAAATGGTCAGGGTGAGGGGAAGGAAGGGAGGGAACGAGGAGGGAGTAGAAAGCTGAGAGGGGGGGGTGTTGAAGGCACGGCTGAAGAGAAAAGTCTTGAGTCTGGCCTTGAAGGAGGAAAGGGAGGAGGCAAGGCGAAGACACTGGGGGATGGAGTTCCAGAGCCTAGGGGCTGAGAGGCTGAAGGCCCCGCCACCGATGGTAGGGTGGTTAGGGCGTGGGATGTGGAGCAGACCGGAGCCAGAGGAACGGAGGGTACGGGCAGGTAAGTAGGGGGATAGTAGGTCGGAGAGGTAGGAGGGAGCAAGGCCGTGAATGGCCTTGTAGGTGAGGATGAGGATCTTGAATTCGATCCTGTGGGGGATGGGGAGCCAGTGGAGGCGAGCGAGGGTGGGAGTGATGTGGTCGCGAAGCCTGGTGCGGGACAGTACACGAGCTGTAGAGTTCTGAATGACCTGCAGCTTGTGGAAGGAGGTGCCGGGAAGGCCGGCGAGGAGAGAATTCCCGTAGGTGATAAAGTTCAGACAAGTTGGGCCAAATGATTTGTTTTGGGGCTGTTTATCTATTTTCAAAACAGTACCCGTTGCCTTTGTTCCTCCGGGTCTGCCCTCCTCCTCGTCCCCTGAGTCCTCCGCTCCACCCTCGGCGGCCGTGCCTTCAGCCACTATGCCCCCAGGCTCTGGAACTCCCTTCCTCACTCCCTTCGTCTCGCTCCCTCCCATCCCATTTTCAGGTCTGCTGAAGACCTTTTTTTTCGACCGCGCCTTTGGTTACCTTCCTCCCCCTGGCTCGGTCCGGGGATCCGTTACTGTAAAGCGCTCTGAGACGCCGCCCGGCATGGAGGCCTCTATATAAATCCAAATTGTTGTTGTTGTATTTCTGTGTAATACGTAATAATTTGTCAGTCACCTCATAGTCATTCGTGGGACGTTGTTTGTCTGCAAGAAAAGACCCTGCCCTTGATGATAATAACCGTGAAGTATGAGGGATGGAGAGCCTGGGGGTTTCCTGGCAGGCTAGGGGGAAAGCTGGTTTCAGAGGCAAGAAATGTTGTATCAGAGAGAGAAAGCTGAGTGAGTGAAAGCCCAGATGTAGCATAGTTGTGGGTCAAACAAGATATCTAGGTTCTGCACTGGCTCCGTGAGGTGAGGAGAGCATCAATGAGGGTCTCAAAAATGCAACTTCTGTGCTTCTCTCTTTGAATGATCGTTCATGTTATCTGTTGATCTCAGAAAACATCTTGTGTTAGGCTGTACTGATTTCATTCCTTGTAGGCACTGGAAAATGTTAATGGACGACTGCGTGAACTTTACCCTGACAGTGATGAGATATTTGACATTGTTCTGATGACCAATAACCATGCCCAAGTAGGAGTGAGACTGATCAACAGCATCAATCACTACGGTATGTTCACAGAGGAATTTGACTTGTTTTTTTTAACATGTATATCATTCCTTCCAATATCTATGAATCGCACTTCTCTTCTAACAATACACTATGTTTTTTTCGGTAAGAGGAGCTGTAGCCCCTGTGCTGTACAGCTTGTCACAGTCATTGTTCCCCTGATGTGCGCTGCTATGTGACAGGCTTAGACCTACCACTATTTTCTTCTTTTTCTCCAGAGAAATGAGAGGCCTTTAATTTCTTTCTTCCACGCACAGGCTCTGTTGCCTAAGGATTCTGTTGCCCAAGGACAGAAATGTGTCTTCTGTGGCACCAGTTTCCCTTAGTCCAGAACATTCCCTCTCACCCCAGCACTATTGGCTTCCCATCTTCCAACGAATTGAGTTCAAGATCCTCATTCTCATGTTCAGATCCCTCAACCGTCTTGTCTCCTTTGTCACCTCCTCAAATCACACCATCCTGGCCATTTCCTTCGCTCAGCGAACACTGGTCTGTTTCAAATCACCCGCCCTATCCGCCCCACAAATGGTGGGTGACATTACAGCCATCCTGGAGTTCCTCAGTCTCACTTGCTCCCTCCCTTCATTCAAGGCATGAGTCAAAACATATTTCTTCGACTTCGCTTTGAGTAATCTTTCCACTCCTCACCCGCTCGGCTCCCACACCCAGTTTAGGCACCCATCCAGCTTTGTCAAGCGTTTTGAGCTGTCCTCCCTACTTGAAAGGCACTGTATCAATATCAATTGTATCCTTAGATAGGAGAGAAAATTTAAACATTTGACTCCAAATTTATTTTTGGATATTTTGTTAACAAATAGTAAAATAATAATTAGTCTTGTATTGTTTGTAAATAAAAAATAACACGAAATAAAGCCGAAAACTTTGTATAAAACAACATAAAACAAATTATTATTACTATATTTTAATATTTTGATAATCCAAAAACGATGATTTCAAAGTACGTAGTCTGAAAATGAAACTATTTCATTCCATCATCCGCAAGTTACTCTGCAGTTTGATAACTAGGACTAGCCACATTTATATACACTGCAATCTCTGCTTTGGACTTGGGCAAAGTGGAGCACAGAGTTCTGTTCATCAGGTCTAATTGTTGGTGAAGTTTTCAATGATACTTTTTCATGAGCTTTATCGTCAGCTTTTACTGTCCGTAGAATACCATACAAACAGCCCCATAGGATCTTTTATCACCTCAATAAGCAACATTAGAGGTATAACTTTAAAGTTACACTTCAGCTGGTGTGAAACCCAAGTGGTGTGAAAGTAGCACTTCGAACTTGTCAAAATTTGCATTGACCCTTAAAATAACATTAAGTGCTAAATTCTGTGCTCATAGTTAGCAACAAATAACAAAATGTAAAATTCACAATCATTCAGAATAAGGTATCATGAATTAATCATTCAAGGTATCATTAATCATTCTGAATAATTTTAACATAGGAAAGGTGGAAAGACTAGCGAAAGTAGAAAAGGGGCAGAGCAGAAATGTACTTTTATTTAGAATTATTCTAGTATATATTAATATTACATTAATAATATGCCCTTGACATCTCAGCAGCATTATTACTGTAATAATACAGCAATTTTCAACCTCACAATGTGTGAGCCTAAGAATCCCAGGAGGACAGAAGTCCTAACACTTGCTGTCTTGTTTTGATACCAGCTTTTTGCTGTAAGCAAATTTGTGACATTCACACTTTGTTGTGAATCGAACTTTAGCATATTCAGTCAGTTTGTAAGTGCTTGGTTCTCTCAGGATTTTTAAAAAAATGACGAATTAGATAGACTAATAAATTGAGGACCACTGGTTCACTTATGATTTAGTACAAAGGCCGATTTTACATGTACAAGATCATACATGTGCTTATCAAACTGTTTAACATTGGCTGACACTGTTGACTCATTTTGCTGTTTACCTCTTTTTCACCAGAGCTATTGATTGAAAGGTTCTGTATGACGGGTGGAAATAGCCCTATTGGATATCTGACAGCCTATCTCACCAATCTCTACCTTTCAGCAGATTCTGAGAAAGTACAAGAAGCAATAGAGGCAGGTAAGGACCAATTGTGCAACAGTTTGTTAAGAAGTAATAAACTGCATTGTTTAGTTGCACAAGAATGGAAGTGATGACCTTTGCTCATAATAATAATAAAATAATAATCCTTGCATTTGATATAGCGCTTTTCACGTCGGGAGGACGTCTCAAAGCGCTTCACAGAACACACTGTAAAATGAATTGACTGTATATTTGTGGGCGAACGCGGCAGCCAATTGCACACAGCAATGTCCCACAAACAGTCGTAGATTGAAAATGACCAATTTATTATTGTTTTTGGAGGGATTATTATTAGGCGTGTGGAATAAGGAAACTTGCCCAAGGTTTCGCCCTGTCTGGAATTGAACTCGGGTCTCTCGCTTGCAAAGCGAGTGCTCTAACCACTGAGCTACAGGACTCATGTGTGGCTGCCTTGCAAACAGCAGTATGTTGCTGTATGGAATCCTTTCTGTTCAGCCCCTCATGACGGGTGTAATTTTCTTTTGGTTAAGCATTAAAGTTGTGCTTCATGTTTTCTTTGCTGAAAATGTTTGTTGAATCTTCAGTATTGCTACCTGCTATTTTCTTACTTAAGCCGTGGCTCTGACAAATTCCTTCTAAATTAATGTGTCAGGATTTTGAGTTTTGTCTTATTGAAGCTATCACTTCCTGCTGCATCCACAATCGCACCCCTCCCCCCCCCAATCCCTCTCTCTCCCAATCACCTCCACGGTTCACTATCTGCAGCGGCAGGACTATGTTGCTAAGAACGTGGTTGGTAGCAGAAGCATTTGCCTTTCTGATTGACTGGAGTAACGGCCAGTATTATTTCCACTCTCTGGGTCCTCCCAACCGCCGGCTCCTGTCACTGCCATTGGAGTATGTTCACCAGGGAGGGAGGGAGTGGGTTGGAATGTTGCAAATTGTCTTGGGTTGAATGCAGCCTGCAGAGCTTTCTGACGTAGGGAATCCAGACGGCGGCAACCAAAAGGCTGGATCGCTCTGGTCTAGACTGACAGTGCAGTTGCTGGGGGAGCATCTAAGCAAAGTTCAAGATATATACATCTGGGTGCCTGCAGATGAGGATGGCTCATTGTGCTTAGCAGGATGGAGGCACACATCCTAAAGAGTAAAAAATGAAGTGGTCATGAATGAGATTTCACTTCTAATCTGCAAAATTCAAATTTTAAGACTGGTTGAAAATTTTTTAAAAAGCGACAGTTTAAATATTGCTGGCGAAAGTGCTTTGGAATGTTAAAGTGCATCTCTTGAAGGAAACATTATGTGAAGTGCCAAAGCATAAGTATTCAGTTCAGAGGCCATCTTGGGTTGCAGTTAGGGTCAAGCAGGTCATGGGATTCCTTGCACTTTAGGCCCAAATCTTTATCTCCTTGTTTAAAGCACTATTTACCAGTATTTTCCCACAAAATATACAGTCAATTCACTTTACAATATATTCTGTGTAGCATTTTGAGACGTCTCAGCAACGTGATCAAATGCAAGGATTATTATTATCAATTTACAATTTTATATTTTTTTCTGGACATGGGTCTACCAGAGGCTTGAAGCATCCCTTATTACGGCTTATCAATTCCCTTCAGTATTTTGAAAGCCTCAATCCATGCAATGGATTATAACTGAGCTCCATCATCTAAGTATTAACATGGTCAATGAATGGTGGAAAATAATAATAATCCTTGTATTTGATATAGTGCCTTATTATGCCTTTGAGATGTCTCAAAGCACTTCACAGAATTAAATGTAATGTGTGGTGACTATATTTTGTGGACGAAACAGGGCAACTGATTGCACAAAGAAGTGTCCCACAAACGGTCGTGGATTGAGTGATCAAATTTTTTTTTACATTTAATTTTGAAGGGATTATTATCCCTAGAAAAGCGATCTACCAATCAACTAACAACTGGGATCCTGTTTACTGCTGGCTAAACATGGGGGTACGGAGTAAGGAAACTTAGCTAAGTGGCGTCCTGCAGCTCAGTGGTTAGAGCACTCGCTTTGCAAGCGAGACACCTGAGTTCAATTCCAGGCAGGGCGAAACCTTAGGCAAGTTTCCTTACTCCACACGCCGAATAATAATCCCTCCAAAAAAAACAAAAACAATAATAAATTGGTCATTTTCAATCTATGACTGTTTGCGGGACATTGCTGTGCGCAATTGGCTGCCGCGTTCGCCCACAAATATACAGTCAATTCACTTTACAGTGTGTTCTGTGAAGCGCTTTGGGACGTCCTTCCGACGTGAAAAGCGCTATATCAAATGCAAGGATTATTATTATTATTATTAAGGTTTTGACCCCGTCCGGAATCAAACCCAGGTCATCTCGTTTGCAAGGAGAGTACTCTAACCAAGACGCTACAGTACAGGATGCACTCCAAAGCTAGGATATTCTTTCTAATTTTGTGCACCCAAAATTGAGCATAACGCGTGAGTTTGCTCTAGCAATGGAATCCTCGAGGGACTGGATTTAGCAGTATTTAAAGCAGCTCTGCAGGGCATTGCAGTAATAAACATGGCATAAACCTGATCTTTGCTTTGCAAATTGAGTATTTCATGGAGGTAATTACTTTGAAGCCAGCAGAGCCTTATCGATATTATTATAATAATCCTTACATTTGATAGAGTGCTTTTCACATCTTCGAGACGTCTCAAAGCGCTTCACAGAATATACTGTAAAGTGAATTGACTGTATATTTTGTGGGTGAAACACAGCAGCCAATTGGTCACAGCAGCTTCCCAAAAACAGTCATGAATTGAGTGACCAAGTTTCCTGACTCCACACGCCTGATAATAATCCCTCAAGAGAAAAAGCAATGATAAATTGGTCACTTCAATCCACGACTGTTTGTGGGACACTGCTGTGTGCAATTGGCTGCCACGTTTCGCCCACAAATATACAGTCAAGTCACTTCAAAGTATATTCTGTGAAGCGCTTTGAGAAGTCTAGAAGACGTGATAAGCCGCGATATCAAATGCAAGGATTATTATTAGCTATTATTAATATTTAACTAAACCATTCTAGCACCATTTTTTTTCGGTCACTTTCTCTTGCGTGGGAGGTGTGAACTGGATTCAATTGAGGAATTAGACCACCTTAACTGCTCAGTGAACTCTTTCACTTTCTAATATTTCCCAAGCAGAAGACTTTGAAAAAACATCCCCCGGAGACCATTGGCCCTATTTGTGTTTCACTACCAGAAAAAAAATCTTGAGATATAAATTGATTTCTTTTTTGCAGGGAAATCTACATGCATCACACTGACTCGTGAGGTTAGATTATGAGGTCTGAAGCAATTTCTAGCTGTAGATGAATGTTCACAAGTTGTCACAAAGCATTTAGATGCTCTTTCCAGCAGTGAGGCACCAGGAATGCTTATGTTTTCCTGAAGAGCGCTTTTTCAACTTTAGAGCACCTTTGGTTGCTTGTGCATCAAGCTGTCGTTCCTTTGTTAAATGCTTCTGTTAGTGGTTTGTAACTGGAGGTTCTGGTCATTCCTGAGAGAGAATCCTTCAGGATCTTTCCCTGGCACTGAATGTAATAAAGTGAAACAACAGATTGTGAGTGAAACTCAAGCTCGTATATGGATTAGTTATACATTATCTATTGTACAGAGGGTAATAACTGTACAATAGATAACTGGAGTCCTGTAGCTCAGTGGTTAGAGCCCTTGCCTTGCAAGCAAGAAACCTGGGTTTGATTCCTGGTAGGGTGAAACCTTGGACAAGTTTTCTTACTCCACATGCCTTTCTTTTTTCGGTCACTTTCTCTTGAGTGGGAGGTGTGAACTGGATCCTGCAGTGAGTTATAGCACTGCTGGCTGTAAGAGTGCTGGCAATGGTCTCAGTTTGAACATATGTTTATTGTGAGTTGGGAGGTGATCTTCTTTCATGTGGGGATTATATAAAACTGTGGCTCATGGCCTGGGCTAATAGAAAAGTGTAATATTTGCCCAAACTTTGAGGAGATTTGAAAATTTTGTGGAAAAATACAAGGAAATTTTTGACAGATTTTGCAGGAAATTGTGGGGAATTAGTTGATTGGTGCTATTGACGTACATTTTACTGCCAACCTACATTTTTTCACTTTAAAAACTAAACATGAGGAAATAACACATTAGACTAGATTAAAAAATTAATTGCTTCTTTAACAAAAACTGGTTGTCCCAATATTTTTTGGGGTAGACATCAGCGAGGCTACAGGAGATCACCACTTCCTGTCTCTTAAGAGCCCGGCACCACACATAGTCACTGAGATCCAGAGAGAGAGAGAGAGTTTCACACACACACACACTCAGAGACACAGAGAGACACGTATTCTCAGAGAGAGACACACACACACACAAACACAGACAACTGAGAGAGACACTTACGCATTCACACAGACACTCATAAACACACACATATACAGAGGAGAAAGACACACTCACGTGGATTGAATGACCGATTCTTTTTAAGGAATGTAAAAGCAAGCCCCTGTAAAAGCAATACTTACTGTTAGGTAAACAGAGGCGTATGGATTAAGGAAACTTGCCCAACGTATCGCCCTACCGGGAATCAAACCCAGGTCTCTCACTTACGAGGCGAGAGCTCTAACCACTGAGCTACAGGACAACAATAACAAGACTGCATTTGTATAGTGCCTTTCACGTCAGGAGGACGTCCCAAGGCGCTGGACAGTGTACAGCATTTCAGACTCCAGCTAGGGTCAGGGAGGGATAAGGTAGGGGAGGGGAAGGGGGGTGACCGATGGCATGGTCGAAGAGGAGGGTTTTGAGGCAGGACTTGAAGGAGGCTAAGGAGGGGGCGAGGCAGAGTGATTGGGGGATGGAATTCCAGAAGTTGGGTGCAAAGTGGCTGAAGGCTCTCCCGCAAATGGTGGGACAGGTGGGTCGGGGGACGTGGAGCAGACTGGAGCCGGCTGAGTGGAGGGAGCGTGCGGGTTAGTAGGGTTTTAGGAGGTCACAGAGTTAGGGTGGGGAGAGGCAATGGAGGGCTTTGTAAGTGAGGACCAGGATCTTGAACTGGATCCTCTGAAGGATACAACAACAACAAAATTACATTTATAGAGCGCCTTTCACATCGGGACGACGTCCCAAAGTGCTGAACAGTCAGGTGTCGGGGCCCGAGCATAGGGGAGGGATGGTATAGGGAAGGCAGAGAGGTGGGAGGGCGACAGGGTCGAAGAGAAGGGTCTTGAGACCGGCCTTGAAGGAGGCAAGTGAGGAAGCGAGGCGGAGGGACCATGGAATGGAGTTCCAGACTGGGGGCAGAGAGGCTGAAAGCCTGGCCAATGATAGTAGGGTGGGTCGGGCGGGAGACATGGATCAGGCTGGAGCCTGCTGAACAGAGGAAGCGGGCAGGTTGGTAGGGAGTCAGCAGGTCAGAGAAGTAGGAGGGGGCAAGGCCATGGATGGCCTTAAAGATGAGGACGAGGATCTTGAACTCGATCCTCTGGGGGATAGGGAGTCAATGGAGTCGGGCAAGAATGGGAGAAATGGGGTCAAAGAGTTTGGTGCGGGAGAGGACACGGGCTGCAGAGTTCTGGATTATCTGCAAAGTGGATTTAGATTCACTCTATCTATCAGACCTGCTTAATATTCCATTCTGTACAAATGTCCTACAGATACACAGATCAATCCTGTTCACAATTTAACATTCATTAGACTGCAGCATGTTACCACCACATTAATGATTTTCACTAATGTATCAGGACTATTTCAGTCCTTGCATTATTGTACTATTTAGCACTGACGCTAATCCTTTGTCTGGTTTTGGTTTCTGTGATCTCAGGAATTGCAGCAGCGACTATGTTTCAAACCAAGAAAAACCAGGAACTTTCAGATGACCAGCTGAGGGTGGCGTTCGATGGTGATGCTGTGCTCTTCTCTGATGAATCTGAGCAGATTGTGAAAGCTCACGGCTTAGACACCTTTTTCGAACATGAGCAGAAGTATGAAAACAAGCCACTTGCACAGGTACTGCAATATTTAATAATAAAAATAATCCTTGCATTTGATATAGCGCCTTATCGCTTCTTCGAGACGTCTCAAAGCGCTTCACGGAATATATTGTAAAGTAAATGTATTGTATATTTTGTGGGCAAGATTGCAGAAGAATATTAATGTTAGTATTTACAGTATATACATTTAACTTAGCCATAACTTCAAATGGAGTGTGTCCAAGTCGGCAATGGATATGTGCCCTGTTTATTTTGAGGGACATATTCCAGGCGCCAGTGGCAAAACAGTTTGTGCAGTTTGGTTTCAAATATCCTCACCACTGCAGTGGGACATCCAATTTTAAAGGCATAGCAAAAAGATTACTATATTTAGTAAACTGGGTCAGATAACTGCCAGTGAATTTTGGCAGTCTGTTCAACTGTGTATGTGTGAGGGGGGGGTGTTGGTGGGGGCAAGGAAGAGAATCAGAGTCAGGCACACTTTACAGCAGGGGTCACTTGTACACAGCTGCAGAATAAGAAGCCCGTCTGATTTTTCCTGACATCGTGCTGTTGCTGCCTAGGTTGGGATCAGCCCAGACCTCAGATTGAACTTTGCTCTATCTGAATTTGTGCAGCTCAGATTTGTTCTAGGCAGAGACACAAGCAATCGAGCCATGCAAAAGTTTGAAGTTAACTAACACCTACCGGAATCCTATAGCTCAGCGGTTAGAGCATTCGCCTCTCAAGTGAGAGACCTGGGTTCGATTCCTGGCAGGGCAAGTTTCCTTACTCCACACGCCTGATAATAATCCCTCAGGAAAAAAAATGTAATAATTTGATCACTCAATCCACGACTGTTTTTGGGACACTATTATGCGGAATTGGCTGCCGTGTTTCGCCCACAAATATTATTATCATTTATTTATTATTTAAAGGCTGCTCCACAGCAACTGCTTCTGATATAAGTCGCTCTCTTGTTTCACCAATAGGGGCCACTTAAAGGATTTTTAGAAGCGCTCGGAAAACTTCAGAGGAAGTTCTATGCCAAAGATTTGCGTTTGAGTTGCCCTATCCGGACCTACCTAGTCACAGCGAGAAGTGCTGCTAGTTCTGGAGCCCGGGTATTGAAGACCCTTCGGAGCTGGGGGCTGGAGATTGATGAAGCGCTCTTCCTCGCTGGAGCACCAAAAGGGCCACTCTTAGAAAAAATACGGCCTCACATTTTCTTTGATGACCAGATGTTCCACATTAAAGGAGCACAGGAGCTGGGAACCATTGCAGCACATGTACCGTACGGTATTGGGCAGAAGTACAACAAGAGCACTCCCATAGCTGAAACTCCTACTAAACAGAAGTAAACATGCAGCACTGCATTCCAAATACATATCACATCTTCAAGATCTTTATCCTTATTGTTCAACTGAGAATATGATAAAGGCCTTATCTATAAAGCTGAGGGTTTCTTCTGCATAGCTCACATTTGCACACCTAATTTGTCCTTTGCACACTTCAAAATCCCATTCTCAGATTATTTCTCTCTTACGCTATTTAGTTTGGGGTAATGGAGTTGTTCACATCATTTAGATTTTGCTGGCCACACTAACTTTGAAACCATTGAACTCATCACAAACACATTTAATACATAAAAGCCTCCAATCACCTTATTTTGTGTTTCATAATTTGCCTCAATTGTAAGCGGTTCACAATACCTGCCAGTCCTACTTACATTATTTTCTGAGCACTGTGGTTTTCTCTCATTAAACCTTCTCAGCTTTTCTACCAGGGACACTTATAGGCCAAATTCCAGGGAAATGATCACTGGTGAACTGAACAACTTCCAAATTTAGACAGAATTTAAATGATTTTCCAAGTTGCCCTGCAATCATATTTTTAACACAATGATTTTATGACCCAGACCTATGGAATTCTAGGCATCTAGGTGCTTAGAATAGAATAAAAGCTTTCAATAATACCATGGTTTTGTATAGAATATACCTGAATTTCTTCATTCTTTTCGTTCTATTTGGCACCTGTTGAAACTCAGATTGTTCAGTTAGACAATGAATCATTCATAGAGGTTCAGAGACCTGGACAAATGCTTTTCTAAATCTGTGATGTCCCTTTGATTCAAAGCACAACATGAAACAACTGAAGATGATAGAAATTTGGAATTCGATTTTCTCTAGACCAAAATCACTTTAAAACCGATGGATCATTTGCTGGTTTTCAAAAAATATTGACCAGCGTGCACACAATGGAATCAAAATTGTAGAACAGTGTATTGCTAAACACTATTAAGGAACTGAATATGTTAGGAATACCACACTATTGTCTCCATGATAGGAAATACCATTAAGATTGAGAACTTCACTGCAAAGGCAAATGCCAATACATGAAGAAGTTCTTTGAGGGTGTTCACTATCAAATCTAAGTTTATTAGCTAGGGGAAAGTAATTCTACAAACAAATTATAGGCTATAGTGCATTTATGTTTAAGGAATGTTTGTAATATCTGAATAATATACTGTACTAGTTAATATTCTGTAGATGTAGTCAGATGTATTGCCGGCACAAACTCAATGGGCCGAATGGCCTCTTTTTGTGCTGTATGATTCTATGATTCTATGTATTATGATCATAGAATATTTACAGCACAAAAGGAGGCAATTCGGCCCCTTGTGTTGTCTGTGCTGGTGCTAGCTACTTCTCCTTTTCTTTCCTTATACCCTTCAATATTTTTTTCAATTAATCATTCAATTCTATTTCTCCTATAAAAAACAATCATAGCTTTGAAAAACTTGATTAGATCCTCTGTAATGCTGTTCCTCACCGTTCTCTGTTAATTTACTAACATTAGAAATGCTTTGTCAGATTTTTACAAAACTTCTAACTGATTTTTTTTCTCATCTCGTTCTCGTTTCATTTTGAAATTGGATTGCAAGATGTGCCTAAATTGCAGAACTCTTTTAGCAGAGCATCACTTGACAAACAGTGATTGTATGTTCAGGGTTTGTGGAACCAGAGTTGAACAATTTGGGGTTTGAAGATAGATTCACAGAACTCCCAGATCTAATTCTTTTTAACGTTCCACAAATATTACAGCGTAAGATATATTTCTGCATATATATTCAAGAATTTTTTAAGAAAAAATATTATAATCAGAGATTTTCTTTTTACCTGTCCAATATAACAGAATATAATTCATATTGGTGTGTTATACAGCGCATGTTACTCAGTGCAATATTTAAATGTTTACACCAGCAAAATATGTTCATATTTCTAAAGTTCAGGCCATTGGTTGGAGCCCATAGTGTTGAAGGTAAATTGAGTATATACATATATATATATAAATCTAAAGGTTCATGTTATGTTTGAATCGATAAAAGACTGTACACAGTGAAATTTAGTTAATTGAATATCGGATAATTGAATAGCTCGATTTATTGAATAGAATTTAGAAATCCCAAATTTGCACACCTAATCTTAAGAATATAGATTGGTTAATTGAATACTGGATATATGAATAATTTGGTTCATTGAATAATTTTTCTTGTGACCATTCATATATAAATTAAGCCCCAAGTCACTACCTTCTACATTGCAGCGTGAACATCATCGGTGGCCCCCACCTCTTTTCCTCCCCTCCCCTAGACTCTCCTTGCTCACCAGTGAGGCCGCTGGCAATTGATCAGTTGTCCACGTGCGAGTGAGTGTGTATCTGACTGGTAGAGGATGTTTAGTCCGGCTATGTGAATAGTTCAGATTATCGAATAGTTTTCGCTGAAGATTGAGTATTCAATTAACAGAATTTCATTGTATAGTAGATCATTTTATAGATATCACAGATAAATTCATCTGTGAAGACACATTATAATGTAAAGAATCAGTGTTCCTCAACTGGGCAAGCGCTCTGAGGTGCTACGCTGCATTAAGGGCACTATATAATTGCAAGTTGTTGTTGAGTGCAATCTTAAGCTCACAAAAAGAGCAAGTACTGATTCCAGATTTACATAACTATTTGTCTGTGTTGTACTTCCTTGCTCTCTTTTCTGTCTATGTTACAATCTTAACAAGTTGGTTCTCGAAAAGAGTTAACCTAGTTTTACAAAGAAGCAAGCAACATTTTAGAATTAAATTTTAATAATGTGTCGAATTTGTTTATAATGAGATGTGCATACATGCTATTTTCTCCGAGATCGAATACCACAATGGATGGTTTCAGGCGAGGATTATACTATAGGTTCTTTAGAACGTGTTTTTTTTCTCATCTATGATAAAGTCTGTGTCAGTATAAAACTAAAGAATCAAAGTGGGATACATCCATAAAGTATTGCAGTTTCTTTTTACTTGTACAATTTTTGAAAAATATATCGCTAATTTTCCCTTTGTCTCCTGGATCTCTTGCTGAGGTGCACAGCAGGAACTTATAGTACCTTCAGGAAATGGCCATTCATCGCAATGCTGATATGGGCATAGTGTGTCAGCATTTATTTAGTAGTTATTAGCATCACACTCAGTCCTGTCCTCACTAATGTTCACACACGCATAGCGGGAGGAGTCTCTGGGGTGGGAATGCTAGCCTGGGGTTGTTGAGCCCCAGCTGCTGCCCCATCTGAGATCAGCTAATTTTGCACACATTCTAACCACCAATCGTTCGAACAGCGTGGTTTAGTGCCCAACCCGGAGGTGCCTGTATCCCACAAGGCCTTTGTAGAAAGTTTTAAACTGAAAGACTTTCTGACTGATTTTATTATTGTCATCATTGGAGAGTGAACAGTCTTGAGGAATGTTTGTGCTTAAGTGCTGTGTTTTTGATTTTTTAATAATTTTTAATTCTTGCGACTATTCAATAACTAAAGCAAATTTCTTGAAAAAGTGTTTATTTTAATACTTTACTGTCGTTCACTTCAATGATCACCTTTTTAAACTGTTGCTTATTAAAGTCAGTTATATTCTGAGGAGACTCCCTGGTGACATATTTCTAAAGCCTGTTTTGGTGAATGTAGTTATTTAACCCTTTCAAATAAATTAGTAATTTTTTTAAGAACAATCTGGTAGGGACTCTCAGGATATTGCAATATCTTAGCATGTTGTTCTTTCAACTTCTTGCACTTTGGTTTACTCCAACCCAGATTGAGGAAGTGAAAATCTCTCTCTCTCTTTCTTCCCCAATGCGAGATGGGCTACATAAAGCAGTTTTGAACAGGCTTATCCGAATAACTAGTGGTGATGGGTACAAAATTGGCAAAATTGTCCGTCTGACTCTTGTAGTAAGAGGGTTCTGTTGAGCATCGGGGCTAGAGTATGTTGCAGTTAGAGTAGAAGCAGGTTCACTTGGAAGCTGGCTCATCTAAAAGTAGACCTTATTTTCATTCTGACTCAAGGAGAGGGATATTCTCTGGTTGTCCATAAATACACCAATCAAGACATATTATTTGAATGTATTGGGGTCTAGGGAAAGGGGTTACAATGAGATTTACCAAGGAACGATTTGGTAAATTTGCTGATCAGCAGAAGATAAATTTGGGGTTCCTGAATTGAGAAAATATTCTATTTTCTAATATTCCTCACCTAGCTGATAATTTGTAGAGACTAAAATAACTCCACCCTCAGTAAAATTCTAGATAGAAGGAAGTTAAGTAATAATTGAAAAACATGTCTCCTTCTCCTTCAAGTGACTATTATTCATAACAGGGTAGAATTCACTGTATTTTAAATCAAGTGTGATATAAGTTGAGTTTTTGTGCACCTTTGTTTAATATATTTGCCTCTTTAGAGAATTGGTGTATATGTAGATGATTCAAGTCGACTGTACTGTATTGTAGCACTTTCTTTGCAACTTTTATTTAATGAAATCCTGTTGGAAGCATGTTTTGATGGAACATTTTTTGTTCAAAACAATGTTTTTAATACCATAATAATCAGTTTTGAGCAGATACATAATTTGTTGTGGACTGTTGTGGTTTACTGATACAAATACTGCTATTGGTTAGCAGCTACTTTATACTTTACATTTATTTTGTATATTCTGTTTACCGGAATAATCCTCTCTCAAATTATTTCATAAATTCATGGTTTGATGGAACGCTTGGTTTTAATGCCATGATAATGAGTTTTGAGAAGATAGATAATTTGTTGTGGCCTGTTGTGGTTTACTGATATAAATACTGCTATTGGCTAGCAGCTACTTTGTACTTTACATTTATTTTATATATTCTGTTTACCGGAGCTGATCTCTCAGATTATTTCATAAATTCATGTTTGTTTTTCTATTTCAATAAAGCTGGCTTATGGAACATTGTGATTCATCAGTTTTTTTGTTGCTTTGCTCCCAAGCTTATTCTTCTGATGCTATCCAATTGTTTTAATTTTATATTAGTCGTGTAAGCACTCCGAGGCACTATCCTGCGTGTAGGGTGCAGGGTTGCTGCTGTTGTAGCACCAACACCTTGGGACATCCTCCCGATGTGAAAGGTGCAATATAAATGCAATCTATTGTTGTAGTGTTATTGTTACATCAAAAGGAAATCACTTATACTCAATGACTTTATGACCTTTGGAGAAATATTAAATATAGTTTTGATTTTACAGATAATATTTACTACTGTATTGTTTACATCACATTNAAAAAAAGTGTTAAACATAGGGAAAAATTAATGGATAGCAATTAATGTGTGTGTTGTCACCCAGCTCAGAGCCAAACAAACAGGAGAGGATGGGAACTCACAGAAATCGAGGATACAGATGGAGGCCATTCAACACGTTCTATTTGGATCTCAGATACATATTACATGGAAACAACAGAATTGACTGGAAATTAAAATCACTGGACACATAATACGTGCACAATGAGGCCCAGAGTGGCAGCACAACTCACAGGAGTACAGTAAACCTATATTATACCAGAGCTTTGTATACAACCTCCCAGCCCAGCTAATTGACTTTTGTACTATACCCAAATGGTGACTGTCCTCCTGGGGGTGTTGGGCGGGGGAGGTAAGTGGCATCTCCTTGGAGCTGACCTGGCTCCAAGGTGACACGCTTGACATTGGAATTTTGGAATCGAGGCACAGCCCTCTGTGGCATTCTCGATTGTCCGATTCCTGAGCCAGTCGGGTCCACAGTATTCCTGGGCACTGATGATGACAAAGCAGCCAGCCTGACTCATCGGCAGGATCTGGAAGGAGAAACCAGTCACTGGGGGCAGGGAGTCTCCCAATCACTCTTGTTAACCCTGCAAGCCAAAGTCCTAATGGGTAGGGTGATCCTAGGTAAACAAACAGCAGTAAAGCTTGCCAGACAGCGATATCAATGGCAAGCTACTTATTTTTTTGCTGGTTAGACTCCAGCAGTACCCCAAAGTATACCCTAGGGGTCCCCAAGCCTTGACTCTTGCCAACCTGCAGCTAATGTCTTCCGGAATTAGGTAAGTGGGATGCGGCCCTCCAGGAGAGAGTGTTCACTCCATTCCAACAATCTATCTCTGGGATTTCTGTGTGTTGGTGAGATGCATGGAATTCTCAGCTTGGTTTGGATACCTTTAAGCGTGATGGGTTTCCACTTGTGTCAGACACCCAGTTGACCAAAAAAAGTATTAAAAAAAAGACCTACTTCCTGATTATCAGATTGTGCAAAACAAAAGTAATGTCTGAGGCAATTCTGATGATCAGGAAGTTACTTAGCAAGAACCAGCAGACTTGCAGGGAGCGTGCTGGCTACATGCATTCACAGTGAAACTGGCTACCGCACGTCGGGATTTTATGGATCCAAGCCCCCATGTTATAATGGAGCTCAATTGTAGTTTTAATTTTTGAAGCTGGTTTTCTATTCTTTTAAAACCTACAGAAAAACAATTTAAAAATTAAGGTGGTGTTCTACAATTTGCCAAGCTCTGTACACTTTGGCACGCTAAGAAATAAGAGTAAATCGAGTCGAAGGGAATTTCTCTCCCTGTTTGTATTATCTGATCATTGCTTGCAAGGTCAACATCTGGTCAATATCATGCAGTGTACATGAAGTATATTGCCTTTTTTGTTCATCTTTCACCCTCATAAGAATCTTTTTCTGCCAGGGGGGAGGGGGATGGGTGGGGGGTGAGAAGTGAAATAAAATAATTGTGCAGCATGTCCCAAATAATGATTCCTGCTGGGAACCAGATATATATCACGCTAATACATGAGAACTATGCATCAATACAATCAGAAATAGATCACAGGTTCATGTGACTCACGTCCGGTTATTGGCATGAGCTGCTACTTGTGATTTGCTGTTCCAAAACCTGGGTGTTAGACACCACTGCAAACTAAAATTCATATCCTGAATTTAATAAATTGTAAACGGTTACGAAAGTTCACCTTTCTCTGCCTATCATTTTCCTTTGCTTTTCTCATCTTTAGGAAGCAACTGACCCTTTTCTTCCTTCAACTGAGCCAATTCAACAACAACAATGCGTTTATATAGAGCCCTTCACGCAGGGCAGCGTCTTGGAGAGTTTCATTCAGCTCCAAGAAGACTCACTTACCTTTCCTCCGGGGAAGGAGAGTCACTGAAAATAAAGAGTAGAGATCGCTGGGTTTCTTTATGACATCACAAGGAAGTTGCCAGTAGAGTAGATATTGCAAAACAAACAATTACACAGAAAGTTGCAGGAGCAGGAAAGGTCATTGGACGTCCAGTCCCAAAGCAAACGGATAGGATAAGGAGATAAGCAGATACTTCAAAACCAATTTTACATCTTTACACAGAGAAACATCTTGAAGTGCTTCACAAAATAAGAATAGCTTGAAACTAAGTGAATGCTGCTGTCTAAGGAAACGTGGCATCTTATTTCCACCCGCAGTGTCTCACAAGCAACCATAAGATGAGTAACCAATTACTCTGAGGTTTCGTGGATGAATTTGGATGAAGGAGGAATGTGAGCCTGGACAATCGGAGAATCTCTAATCTTAATAGAAATAGTGGCACAGAATCTTTATGTCTGTCTGAGTCACAAGGCAGACAAGACTTCAGTTTAACAACTCGTTCGGAAAAGGGATAATGATCTTGAATAAATTAATCACAAATAATACTTGTATTGAATTAAAAGCAACTTATCTTGTCAACACATTTAGGGACTCTTTTGTGGGTAAACATGGAAGCTAATCAGCGCCAGCATCATCTCAAGAACAATAGTGAGGTAAGTAACCGATTGATTTGAATTTTTTGATAAATTTAGGTTAGGGGGAGAATAATGGCAAAGCTACAATAGATTGACCTTTAAAATTATAAAAAAAAATTAAAAAACAGAGAGAAACAATGAAATAAAAGAATAGAATAAATATGTATTTAAATAATTTATTTATAAAATATATTACATAAAATGAATAATATAATAAAATACATAAAATGAATATAAAATAAATAAACATGGTAGCACTCTCACCTCTGTGTCAAAAGATTGTGGGTTCAAGCCCCATGTAGGGATTTTAAAGTCACAGTCTAAGGCAGGCTGGCACCCCAAAGTAGTGCTAAGGGACAATTCTACTGAATTGTCTAAGATGCCACCACTCATATGAAATACTAAACCAAAGTCTGTCCCATATGCCTGCTCAATTGGACATTAAAGACCTTATAATAATAATAATAATATTTTTTGTATTTGATATAGTGACTTATCACGATCTTTGAGACATCTATTGCACCATTCAAAGAGAAAAGGGAATTTTTCCTGGTGTCCTGACTAACAATTCCCCAGATAAATTGATCATTCATTTCATGGCCCTTTGGGGGACCTTGGCTCCTAACAGAATACACAGTCACTACACTTTACAGTAAATCCTGTGAAGCACTTTGAGACGTCCTCGCAACAAAAAGCCACTATATTATAGAACCATCCGACCCATCATGCCGGTGCCAGCTCTTTGAAGGAGCTACCCAACTAGTCCGACTCCCGTGCTCTTACCCAATAGCCCTGCAATTTTTTCTTTTTCAAATACCCATCCAATTCCCTTTTGAAAGCTACTATCAAATCTGCTTTCACCGCCCTTTTGGACAGTGCATTCAGATAGTAACAACTCTCTGAGTAAAACAAAATTATCCTTTTCTCCCCTCTGGTTGTTTTGCCAATTGAAGTCCTTCATCCCTGGTATTATTTGGGTAAATTTCTTTTGCACCCTCTCCAAGGCTTTGAGCAATAGAAGAAAAGAGTAAAATTGGATAAAACTGGAAGACACAGGTGGGGAGCTTGGATCAAAGTGGCAGGTAACAACCGTAGGAAGAAGGGACTAGAGATCTAGATCAGACATTGTCTACTGAAACTTGAATTTTATTACTTTGACTCTTTGACTGAAGAGTGAAGTGAGTCATTTGGAATGGTTTTAGTTGTCAAATGGAACTGAGTCTAAAATAGCACCGACACAATGTGCCACTTCTGTGCTATGAACATTTTATGATTCTATTCTATGAATCTAGCCCACAGTGATGTCCAAAAGTACTACTCAGTCTGGAAATCTCTCCTTCAAATCTCATCATCTCCTACCCAAGGTTTTCAATGCCTCAACACATATGTCCAAATCTAATACTCATTCTCTCTTCTAAAGTGAATAACACAGTCTCACTTTCCAGCATTCATTCCTCAACTCTGCTTTGGTCGTGATTGGCTTTCTTTCAACACTGTTCAGTTCCATTCAATTCAAATCGACAATAATCTTCACTACTTCCCTTTGACTGGAAAGATGCATTTAAAATGATTTTATCAACGGAAATTTTTAGTTCTTGTTTTTTTTATAGCACCTTAACATATTTGAACATCTCACAGTTTCACAAGTGATTATTGGAAAGTGTAGGTACTGTATGTTTGTGGACAATGCAGCCGCAGCAGCTGTTTCGCGTAGTGTGGTCTCACAAGCATAAGATGAATGATCAATTAATCTGGAGGATCATTGGAAAGTACACATGGTAATAATACTAATCCTTGCACTCGATATAGCTCATGTCATGTCTTTGAGACGCTTCACAGAATATACTGTAAAGTGAATTGACTGCATGAAAATCCGTTCTCTTTTCGAAGTTTCATGAGATTTTTAATATGTTTGGCTGTGTAAATTTTTTTTATATCATTGCACATTAACGCAGATCTCTGCATTTCTACTAGAATAATTATCAAAATCATGTGACCGCCATTCGCCCAATGGATCATTCAGATCCACCTGTGGAGTACTTGGCTCAGTACTCTGACAAGAGGTGATCCAAAATCACTATCCAAATTGTACTCAACCCTTACCACATGCATCTGTAAGTAATAATAATAAGGCTTACATTTGATATAGCACCTTATCACATCTTTGAGACGTCTCAAAGCACTTTACAGAAGATATTGTGAAGTGAATAGATTGTGATTCTGTGGACGAAACATTATTCAACCTGAATTATAGTACTGTATATAATCTATAATGCACTCTAACCTAAGATAGTCCATAAATCTTGTAAAACATTTGATAATTATCACATTAAAACTGTTATAAATTATCACAAATATATCCCCATATATAACATTCCCAAATAATTTATTAATGTGAGTATCATGAGTCAGCTATCATTCCACTTCACCAATAAGTATTGCTTTATGGAAATGAGTATATATTCAATTACATTATTTATATTAGTCCTTGGATTTGATATAGCACCTTATTATGTATCAAAACATCTCAAAGCCCTTCACAGGATAAGCTGTGTCTTGTTGTGACTGTGTGTTTTGTGGGTGAACACGATCGCCAATTTCCGCACAGCAGGCTTCCACAAACCACAAGTTTCCTAGGATAACAGGAGCGACTCCATTGTATTTCGCCCACAAAATACAGTTAATCCACTTTACAATACATCCTTTGAAGCACTTTGAGACGTCTCAACAACATGATAAAGCACTATATCAAATGCAAGGATTATTATTATTATATCATGTTATAAGTAGGTCTAAAACAGCAAACTGAAGTTTTAGAATATTCATGTAATAATAGCAGTGTCTAATAGCCTGATATCACCCTGATAGCAGGCTAGAGGAAAGAGGATCTTTATTCCCTCTGGTGTTTGCAGTCTGATAATGTTGTCTTATCACACCCCAGGCCTGTTCCCAGTGAGCACAGCTCAGGATGGTTTCCCAGCCTCTATCTGTGACCAACCTGCAGGTCTTTGTGACACTTCCCCCGGGTAACACCCTGGAGGAGCAGGGCAGCAGGAAAGGGGGGGGGCAGCAAAATAACCCCAAACCCCTCACATTAACATCTCCCCAAACCCCCTCCCAACACAGTCCTGTTCTTTGCAGCTGCATTGCACTAAGTCACCAGCCTTTCAACGGCAAGTCTCTGGGAAGGAGTGGAAAGCAGGTGGGATGAGTGATAGCGGGCTCTACACTATGGATGACCAGGATATGTGCCACACGATACTTCCAGACAGACCATCTTCAGCCAAGAAGAAAAACAGAGTTGTGAGTACATCTGTGTTGTCAATGTCCCCGAATGCCTGTGTATTTGTATGTGTATCTAAAAGGTGATCCGGAAATTTACAGGAAAGGTAAGTTTGTGTGCACGCCTGTCAATTTGAGACAGAAGAGACTAAATGATTGTTTTTAGCCCAAAGCTCAGCATGCCATCACCGTGGCCGTGTCTTCACGAACCCTCTTCAACATGAGCGATGAAAGGGCGATCTTCGAGGCAGAAGGCCTGGAGTGTTACGTGAAATACCAGCAGGATCACGAAAACGAGCCACTCAAGAAGGGACACGGGTTCCCTTTACTCAAGGTAAGGACCACCACTCAACCTCACTGAATGCTCTGTCATCTTATAATTTTTGTATAGTTTCTGTAGCTCAGTCTGCACTCGCCTCGCAAGCAAGAGACCTGGGTTCAATTCCCGGCAGGGCAAAACGTTGGGCAAGTTTTCTTACTTCACATGCCTCTGTTTACCTAGCAGTAATTAGGAACCGGGTTGTTAGTCGATTGGTGGATCGGTTTTCTGGGGGTAATAATACCTTCAAACAAACAAAACCAAAAGAATTTGGTCACTCAATCCATGACTGTTTGTGGGTCTCTGGTGTGCGCAATTTGCTGCTGCTTTTCGCCCACAAAACATACAGTCAATTCACTATACAGTATATCCTGTGAAGAGCTTTAAGCCATCTGGAAGATGTGATAAGGTGCTATATCAGATGCAAGAATTATTTTTATTTATTATTTCCCTTTGCATTATGTAATTTTTTTTGGTGGGGGTGGACTTTGTATACAAAAGCCTGAAATAATTGTAATTGTCTGATAGAAATACAACATATGCTTTCCTTCTAGGCAATGGAAGCCGTTAATTCTCGACTACATGAACTTTATCCTGGCAGTGAAGAGTTGTTTGATGTTGTTCTAATGACCAATAACCATGCCCAAGTAGGAGTGAGGTTGATAAACAGCATCAATCATTACGGTATGTTCACCCAAAACTTGCATTTTTTACCAACATTAACATTCATTGCAAATATATTATCAAAGTACATAACTATAGCAGAGCTGCAAGCTACTATTCAGTTTCCACGAGTTGTACAATATTGATGGAAGCAATATTGGTATGATTATCCCTCCACTTTCAATTATTTTATCTCTCTGTATGTTATCTGCATCTAATCCTCAATTTCTTGTTGAAGCTCTGTCTTATCTCACGAGTCAGCTGCGCAGTTAACCTGAGGGTGTATTTTATTTCTTATTCAGGTTAATTTTCTGAGTTTAAAATTTTTTAGCAAGTGGTCTGACCATTTCCTTTTCAAGTTTCCAATAAAGCGTTCAACAATATCTCACGAGCTGTCTGTGCTATCTCCGTCTAAGTGTGGAGGACTTGCATCTTGTAAAGCTTTGTATCTGTGAGGGATTATACCTCACTGACTCATTTTGGTACTATTACTAATACTAAAAGTATTATTTCTTCAACACATAAATCACTGAATTTAGCTTATTGAATCCAAATAAAAAAAGTAATTAGACATGTGTATTGCAAAGTTTGTTGTCAAATACTTCTTATACAATATCTCACTTAACACCAGTTGGTTAGACAAACATCAAATGAAAACACATTTTAAATTGTTATTTCCATTTTTGTTTTAGGTTTGACAATTGAAAGATTCTGTATGACAGGAGGAACAAATCCTGTCAATTATTTAAAAGCATATCACACCAACCTGTACCTGTCATCAGATCCTTTAAAAGTTGCAAAAGCATTAGGCGAAGGTAAGGGCAAAGAAACTAATAGATCACAGAAATAACATTTGCAGCATGTATATCACAAAATGATACATTTCAACATTAGGCAACACTATGGTGTAGAAGTGTAGAAGATCTACACCAAATATCAATAATTCTTTCAAAAGATCAGCTATGCAGAGGCTTTATGTTAAACTGATAGTTTTTAATGACAACTGCTGAGTATAACCCATGTGCACTGTTGTCTACTTTCGATAAATCAGTGGCTGTCAACATTTTACAATACACTTAGTCTTAGTACTTTATACTTTTTTGCCCTTATAACCAGAGACAGACAGGTTCATACATAAATTAGTAGGAACACTCTCCCTCAAGCCTTCTTCCTTGCCCCCTCCTTCCCCATTTTCAGATCACACCTGAAAACCTTTCAGTTTGACTGTGCTTGTGGTCACTTCCCCCCAGCTCGGCCACTGTTCAGCGCTATATAAATGCAAATTGTTGTTGTTTTTGTTGTAGAATGTTTTGTTGCTGTAAAAAACATATCGTACAAAACTTCTCCAGGTCTGGTGCCTAATATCAGTTATTCTCTGGTCAATTGAATACCAATTTTAACTTTTAAAAATAGAAGCATTGCTGAGTGAAACGCAGTGATTTAGTTAATGGAAGTTTCTTCCTCTAATTCAATAGCTTTCCCATCTTTGCAATGTAATTTACATATTCTTCCTGATTTTTACATATTGGTTTCTATATTATAGCTAACAGTTGTTTTATCACTATAAGCATTTAAAACTTTCCCTTTTGGCGCATAGATAGCTTCTTGTCTATAATCTTGCTGCCCACTATTATTAATGTTTTACCTTGGTGTTGTTCTTCGAATAATAGTTTATTGTGAAACCTCCTCTACATTGTTGAGTCGATGGTCATCCGTAAGTACAGTTGAATGGGAAGGTTTTCAGGTGGGATTTAAAAAACGAGAGCGGGGGGGCAAGGCATAGGGATTGAGGGAGAGTGTTCCAGAGTTTTGGGCGTACTGGCTGAAAGTGCGACCTCCGATGGTGGGGCAGTGGGTGCGAGGAATGAGCTGGAGGCTGGTGCCAGTAGAGCGGATATATCATATGTATATGTGTAAAATAAATGTATATATACATAGTATATCATGTGAAGTGCTTTCAGAGATCTTCCCAATCTGAAAGACACTACACAAAAGCCTAGGGTTATTATCGATATTGTTGTATGTCGCACACAAAGTACAATGCCTCTCTTTGAGTGATAATAATAATAATAATAATAATAATAATAATAATAATAATAATAATAATAATAATAATAATAATCCTTGCATTTGATATAGCGCTTTTCACGTCGGGAAATTTAAATTTAAATTGTAAATTTAATACAAATTTAATGAAAATTTTGAGCACGTCTGTGCTGCGCCCATCCCTATTATCCCTATTGTGAATTGTTTGCGAACCCTTAAACTTATCCACATAAAATACTGCTAATAAGCAGCAGTGAATGGAGATTTGCTTCCTTATATGTTGACTGGATTTGTAACTTGCAAAGTGAAATCTGTGATTTTTCAAGATATTGGTGTAATTTTATGATATGAGATAAGACTAGATGGAAGTTCAGTCCTCTGATTCTTGAATCTGTGATGCTGTCAATAACGACAACCTACATAGGCACAGTCGAAGAGGAAGGTTTTCAGGTGTGATCTGAAGATAGGCAAGGAGGAGGCAAGGTGGAGGGATTGAGGTAGAGTTCCATAGTTTGGGGTAGTAGAAGCTGAAATATGTCGGAGTTTTGAATGAATTGGATTTTATGAATGGTGGATCTGGGGAGAGTGTTGAGGAGGGTATTGTAATAATCAAAGAGGGAGGCAACAAAGCATGAATAAGGATTTTGGGTGCATTGGGGGTGAGGTAAAGTTAGAGGTGAGCAATGTGGCAGAGATAGAGGAATGCGGCGCTCATTAGGGACTGGAAGTGGGGTAGGAAGAACAGCTGTGAATCGAATCTGATGCCAAGGTTATGCACAGGTTCAGTAAGGGTGGTGGTGGGGGCGGGGGGTAGGTCAGGGAGGTTAAAGAGATTAGAACTACAGGTGAGAAGTCGTTGATGGGAGCCAAAGGATATGGCTTCTGTCTTGTCAACATTCAGCTGCAGAAAGCTAGTGCTCATCCAGACACTGATGTCTGACCCTTTAACAATTGAGTCAGATTATCCGGAAGTGCGGTTGAGCTGGATTTATTTGAAAATCAACTTGATATTGCAATGGGAATATGGTAGGGTGGGTATTCTGAAATGATAAGTTCAAAGTGTCTTCTTCACCCAAACCGATTGTGTGATAACTGATGTGCAGGAAGGGCAACTAATTTATTTAAACCTACAACTTGTTTCTGCGGTTTCAGGAGTTGCAGCAGCTTGTACGAATCACCTAGACAAAGATTCCAATCTTTCAGAGCAACAACTCAGGGTGGCATTTGATGGAGATTCTTTTGTGCACCATGAAGACAATGTTGAGAAATATGGGAGGAGTCATGGATTAGACATGTCCTTTGAGTTAGACAAATGTGAATCAAAGCAGGAATCTAAGCCATCACAGGTATGCTTCATTCTTCATTAGAGTTTTCTTTTGCAATATTCGGCTATTTTACGTAAGTAGCAATACTGGACTTCTGAATGAATCCTGTGGTTTATAATGTGTAATAAGTTCAAAACATATGTGATCCCATATTTGTTGTATCGGCTTGATGATTATCGGATCGTGATTTTCAACTTCAACAGTTTTAGTATTAACAATCTATCAAAATGTTCTGTATTTGGAGAGTAAGAAATACGATCAGCATTACATATTGGGATTGTGGCATGATTCACTAATCTTTATTGAGGGAAAGCAAACGATCTCCCAGCTTCTCAATACAAGAACATAGTTATGCAAGAACAGTCTTTATTCTGTAGTTCTTGTTGGTATTTTCTCAGTCCTCAACAATTTATATTTGACTCAGTTTCAATGTATGTGTGATTCGTTAGTGCATTCATAACTGTTCTTAATGGGTGGACTGAATGCATGATTTGTTTGTAGTGAGCGCAGCAAACATTGAGTCTATTTAAGATTTTTTCCAGGTTGAATTATATGGAGAACGTCAATGACATATTTCCTATATTTCTAGGAAGCTGTCCAACTTTAAGAGTTTATTTCAAAAACTAAACTTCATTTGTCCAACTCAATGGGGTCACTCTCTTAAGCAAAATCAGGCATCTGGTATAAACTTTTCTTTCTCAGATTTCCTTTCTTTTCTCCCTTTGTTTTTTTCCATTCTATGCTCTGCTTAATGTTCATTTCTGTTACCTTTTCAATATTCTTCATTTCTAAGCCTTACTTGCCTCAACAACAATGTTGTCTTTTCTTAGGGTTACAGGACAACCTTTGCTCTTCACACTTTGCAAACTCATAATCACAAAACCCAATATGTTCCATAAAATAATTAAGGCCCATTCTTGCTCAGTTCTACACGTGTCTCTTGGTATGATGCATGTACATGTGTGTCTCTTGTCTCTTTTTCGTATGTGTTTATTTGAAACACCCCTTAGTTTTATTGCTCTGTCTCTCACTCACACATACACTTGTCAGCAATAGCCCAATGAGGTGACAGTGTTTTAAAGGCAGTGTCTGCAATTCCTAAATGTGATCTGAAGTGGGAGCACAGGAGTTCTCAAAGAGCACGAGGTCTGAAATTTGTCATGGTCTTAGCCTTAAGACCGTTGTCTCAAAATTTCACGTTATGGAGAATTATGAAAAAGACCATGACCAAATTCAGGCCTCTGGATCTGATTACATTTTTCAAAGCCATTTGAACCAAAATAAAGCAGCTATTATTTTTCAATGGTTACTTGTGTATTGAATACATTCTTGCACCAGGGTAAGTTGATTGTTTTTGAGGCAAGGACTGGACACAGGAACGTTCCATCATTGAAAACACAAAACATCTCTCCTGTCTGGCCTCATCTTCCATGGACTGTGATGGGAACCAATGAAGAGACTGTCTCAGTGATTTCTGGGGACAATTTATTTATGTCTCTCTTCGACTGAATACACCCAAGAATCACCAAAGAAATGGAAAGAAACTCGGTAAGGATCCGGTTTATATTTTTTTGGAATAGGACATAAGCCTGAAAATTGTAGCACAATTAGTTTAATGTCTCATCTTTTAAAAACCTTCTAGAGATCTATCTTTACAACTATGTCTTTGGTCACTTTGAAGCCCCCCTACATATTGGTATCCAATGCTCCTATTGCTAAATCTGTTAGTACTTTTGTGTAAATGCTGCTATATAAGTCCAACTTGTTAATAATAAATGTACAACGAGCATTACAGGCTACTCTGAGTAGTCAACATGGATTTTTGGATTAAGTGCAAATGATTGACCTGAATTGAAGTGATGAGAAGAAAACAGCCCTGCTGAGGGGATGACTGGTAGCATTACCTGGAGGACTTCACTGGGCCCTCTATTGTTCACAACTAACTTCATAAGTATCTTGGAGAAGCCAGCTGCTACTAATTTGACAACATTTGTGATGATGCCATGCTACATAGACATTTGATATATATTGTGGGGATGAACAACATTTAACAGATCTGGAATTATTCACCACATGGGCTCAAGGCAAATTAATTTTAATGTACCATTTTATAAAGTGGATACATGAATGGGAAACATGATCAAGGAAGAGATGAAGAAGGAAATATGCAATCAACATGATGCAGTCTTGTGCTGAAGAGAAGGATTGCTGGACTTCTGAATGAATTTGGACATTTGACTAAATGAATTTGAATGTTTATTCCTTTCCCGAAATTTTCCAAAGGAGTAGTGCTTACCTGAGACCTTCAGTTGCTTTCAATCCCATTCTTCTTTTGTAATCTGTGTAACAAGGACATATTCTAGAATTCATGCAGTGAAATATAGGGCATGCTGAATCCATCCAAATAACTTGTGCAGTTATGTGCCTTATATAAACCACTGCAAACTATGGCACAACTAAGCTTTTATGTGTAACGTAAAAGTGTCTGCAAAATCATTGAGCTACAAAGTCACATATTATCTGCTCTGTGGTATACATGTTTTATAGCATAGCTACAGAAGCGAGAAATATAATATAAGTAGTCTAAAAGAGGTTATTTTCCACTTTTTGACAAATATATTGACCACAGAGGTGTGTGTAGTAAGGAAAATTGCCCAACGTTTCGCCCTGCCCAGAAATCAAACCCATGTCCTCTCGCTTGCGAGATTAGTGCTCTAACCACTAAGCTACAGGACTCCACAGTTTCCTAGCAAAAAACACTTAGATTTCTTTGCATTAGTTGTATTCTATAAATCGGATAAATGGCTAAATCGCAACCGTTTCTTGGTCCCAAATGATCCTCAATCCTATGTAAATTATCTTTTACCTTGTAAGACCACTACGGCACTTAATGGCTGCCACTTCCTACGCTTGTTTCAAACATTGCATGGAAATGCAGTCTTAGCCCATCACCTTTCTGGCTGCATTGAAAAACGCATGTGCAATATTTTGATCCATCACTGCATGCACACTTAACATCTTCAGTGAATTGCGGGAAATTAACTCTTGATCCGTTCCCCTAAGCACATATACCGGCAGCATTGAAGTATGCATGCATTCCATTTGAAACAAACGCGGGAAAGGAAGTCTTGACCAGTCACTACATGTGAAAGTACTAGCTACAGTGCTGAAATACCGCATGTGCAGTACAATGCATTGTGATCCGTTGAAACATCCACAAAAAACAAGATACTTATTTACTGTTATGTGATTGTCGTAAAAAATCAGATTTATAGAAGTCTGCCTGCATTTCATACTTTGTGTAAATCATATTAAATGTTATGCTTCTGACTGATTGAACTAGTGCAAATTTTTACTGTATTTATAATACACAATGCATGATATGTCTTACTAACTGTGTTATATTGACTGATGTATTGTTTATCTGTTGCTGTCTAATCTGAAGGGAAGCTAAAGAGAAAATTACCCTTGTGTTTATTCACACAGACCCAAAACCATAAACCAGGGAGCAATGTGAAGACTATGAATGGTTACAAAATACTTAAATAATGTTAAGGCTGAGTAATTACATGCAAGTAAACCTTAAGTTTGCAAATGCCAAAAACTTTCAGTATTACTGAAAGGTGTGTTAAATATAATCTGTTTAAATACTTAACCCCATCATCCTATGGAAGGAGGCATGCACAGTTCACATGAAACTGTTACACAGACCAAAGCAAGATGAGGCAGTTTCAGTTCTTATTGGTATCAGATTTAGAGCCAGCTACCCTAGAGAAAGAGCTGTCCAACAGATTTTGATTGACAGGTCTTACCACAGCCTAAGGTGTAACTGGCAGATGCAACCAGGCTGTTCATGGTCTTTGGTTTCCTCTCCCCTTTTTGCGGAACTCAATCTCAGTGCCTTTACCTCTTTCCCTTTTTAATTTACCTTCCCAGGGGTATGGATATAAGGGAATGCTTAACCATTGGCATATGATGGTAGAATATTGTAATATAGCAAAGAAGTACAAAACTAATTTAATTATGTTTGTGGAGATGGTGCAACATGTGAAACTTTGTATTTATCTAACGTCATTCTGTTTGATGAAGCCTTATTGATGAAAACTCTCACTAGTGATAATTACAACCTGGTTGATAAATACAATTGAAAGAGTTGATAACTAAAGCCCGCTTCAAATGTACTACATTTGGTACAACGATTTTGGCCCATGAAATATGACAATTGTCATGCTGGTTCATGGGATTCCAGCTTACCTNAAAAAAATTCTTTGCTTTTTTTCTACTTTGGTACAGAAGATCTCCATGATATTACATTTCAAGGCAATGATCTTAAGGCTAGGAGTATGTTCAGGCCTTAGATGGTAACATGTTTAAGTCCGTGACGGTGCCAATGTTTTGAGGTTTTCAGTAATGAATGAGTTTGAGTGCGAGATTGTGTGATGAGTTTTCATTATAATGCAATGAGCCTGTTCAGGGCAGGACATGTGCAGAGGCCATTCAGCCCATCAAGCCTAGCCTATTCTAACAGTTGATTGGATTACATCAGATATAATCAGATTTATATTTTTCCCATTTCCCAGCCTTTTCCCATGCCTCTTCCTTCCTAAATGTCTATTTCCCTTTCAAATGTCCCAATGGATTCTGACTTCACGGCCTTCTGGGGTGGTTCATTCATACTCTTAAATGCTCTGTGTGAAGAATTATTTTCTGATCTAATTTCTAACCATACCAGCTCTAATTATGTCCCCATTATTTTCGATCCCTTCATCGGAAGGGTCACTAACTAATTTAGCTTGTAATTTTCTTTCATTATTGCAAATTCCACAGTCAAATTACCCTTTAACTATTTTATTGTCATCAAAGATGCTAGAGGACTGGAAGATTGCAAATGTTACTCCCCTGTCAAAAAGGGGCAGAAGGATAAACCTGAGAACTACAGGCAAATCAGCCTACCATCAGTAGCAGGGAAAGTGCTGGAGACTATAATCCGGGACAATATAAATTCTCACTTAGAAAAATAT